CCCGATTGTGAAGAAAATTTGTAAAAAATACAGCTTTTGATTGCAACTTAAATATCAACGTTATGAAATATAAACAATGAACATCAGTCATCTTGAATATACGTTGTATTTAAAGTCATATCCGGTATTAAGTCCTTGTATTTTTTGTAAGCAACCAGAATCGCAACGACGATTTCGCCACTGATAAATGGATAAATGCCAAACAAGCAAAGTTATACAACATTTAGGTAAATGAGAGATAAGGTTTTTGTAATATAAAACTTACAACTCGTTTTAACACGTGGAACTTCTATATAAACTTCTCAATCTTTCACGGATGAACTTGTAAACAATGGCGATTGCGGTAAAATGACGTTAGGGCGAAAATAGGATTCAGAGTCAACTCGTCCTCTGGTCAACTCGTCCTCTGGTCAACTCGTCACCTTTTTGGTCAACTCGTCCCCTGGACAACTCGTCCTCTAGTCAACTCGTCCCGAACTCGTCCCTTATATTTTATTACTACTTGTTTTTCATATAGTTCATAAATCATTATAGACTGTTAAAATAATATATTATAAAATTACTGAATTGGACATATTTTGACGCTTTTCGTTTGCGAATATTTGGAGTTCCATCTTATAATAAGGATATATATGCATAATTCTGATTAAATTACATACAGAAAAAAAAAACAACACGAAGACGATCAATAGCAATAACATTTAATGTATAAAAACATGTTTTATATGCAAAGATAAAATATCATATCGTATGTCTTTTTTGTCAATATTATGTCATGCATGTATATATAGTCACTTTCACTTTCACACTTTCATTGTTTTTTTTTTCCATGCACATATTTCATTGTCTTTTTTTTGGACATCTTACGACTCTACTCTTGGGGCTTGTATAAGTTGCCGAATTCTCTCAAAAGTCCCGTTGATGATAACTCCCCATTCCTGTACTTATCCCACAGCTGGTGCGTCTGTCCCTGAAGAAAGGTGTACTTTTTCCGCTGGTAGCGGCGTAGTCTTCCTTCACTTATCAATTCCGAGTTCCTCACCGCTACCTGGGCCTCATCGTACAGCAGTTTTATCAAAAGGTAGAATGGAGGCGTTCCCCCAGCCCTCCCATTCAATCTTCTATACCATCCTATAAAATAATAGAAGTATATTACAATACCAATAAGATAGGCACAGGTCAACTATAAAATTAATAGATATATTTATCTCTTTAATGCGGCGATGTATGTGTCCATGAATGCATTTCTCAAATTCGCTACAATTTTGGCTAAGACATATTTTTTTATGTATGAGAAGTATGACTGCTACCATGTATACAGGCTATTTCAAATATCTAATATTGTCATAATATTTTAAAATGTGAATTTACCTTCAACATCGTTGTTTGTGCGGATGCTCAATCCAAACACCGACCAAGAATGGACTGGCCACATATCATTGTCGATCCAGGTCCGTCTAATGTAAGCTAGCAGTCCATCAAAACGGTCTGGAGCTAAGTCTGCCATAGACTTGAACACAGGACCAATGTGTTCTGCAGGAAGGAATGGCAGACACGAAGAATGGAAATCAATCATCTTAAAAATTTATCCATCAATGCGTAATTAATGCATGATAATATATATATAGAGCGGACATGTATTCTACATTCTGTTATCTAATATTTAAATGCAGCATTAACTAACACTTTTCATATATCAATTTTTCAAATAAAAATAATGTATAAGTGTTGTATATTTGATATCAAAAACTACCTTGAGGTTGTACGTGTATCCTCGTGAGTCCGTTAATATATCTTTACCCCTCTGTGAAGCACCTGTCAGTATTTCGTGTCGTCAGTCTTTAATCCATTCAGGGAGGCGGTAAAAATCAAAGAGTTGGACCTAATTTTAGTTTTAATTATCATTAAAACTCCGATTAATTAAACATTAATTGAATGTTTGTAAAGTTACCTGTCTTTGTAGTTTGACATCAAAGCTATGCACGTGCGCTTAGATAAAGATCATTAAAATTTAACGTAAAAAAGACGTAATTATTTTATTAATATTTCGATATCAATCAAATTCAGTATTAATTTTACATATTTTACATAAAAGAATTATTTAAAGACATTTTAAAGACAGAGATCGAAAGTAGGGGACGAGTTGACCATATTAGGGACGAGTTGACCAAAAGTAGGGGACGAGTTGACCAAAAAGGTGTCGAGTTGACCAGGGGACGAGTTGACCAGGGGACGAGTTGACCGGATTGCGAAAATAGTTCGTATTCATACGCATGCATTGTTTTTCTTAAATTTACACTTATGAAGCATTAGGCCCTATAAGCTTTAAAGTTAGCTGATCTGAAATCCGTATTCCATTACTTGCTAAATTTTTGAGTTCTATGACACTTAATTAACTTGTGACTACATGTAATTTGTACTATATTTATGCAAGTACTTTGGCTATGATCGACCGCTGGCGTAGTAATATTAAAATCGCGTAAAGCAAAAATATACATACAATTTTAAAAGACGATTGCTAAATTTAGTACAAAATTGGCCAGTCAATTTTAAAATAGATAGGGAACTATGATTTTTGAGTTACTGCGAAGTTTTGGAACTATTTTGCTTAGCGTAGGTAGCTGACTAATTGTGTTCACATCATAGTAAATCTGAATTTGTCGTTATTACATTGGGGGCGCATTGCGCATGCGCCCCCAAAAAATGATTTTACAACTTGAAACTTAAAACAGTGTCCGATTTGTGGCAAGGAAAAATAAGAAGAAGGGTGTAAGCTGGGCTACGGTAAATACTTTTGCTGCTTAGTTTATTTACAGCTTTTTATATATGTTAGTGTATTTCGAAACACACGTTCAACAGGACGTTTCGTCCCAAAACTAAATTGGCCCAAAGACATTTCAGCCTTTTTCTATGTTAAGTAGAGAGAAAAACAGGTACAATATTTCAATACAGAATAACCAGAGAAGAAATTCTACTTTTGTAAGTAAGAGTTAGATGATATTAACTTTTTCCAGCCTAAATCTTGCAGTAAAAATATCTTTTTCCGCTAACAAATGCGATTTCTCACCACAATTTTCCAGAAATGCCCTTTTTGTTGACATCAAACAACGATTTTAAAGCTTACCATATAATATACGACCAAATCCACTTAATTCTTTGAAGATCTATTATCTTAGCACCAAATAAAAAAGAAATACCCGTTTTGAACACATCGGTTAAGAAAATATTGACAATAGAACTGGCATTGGTGTAGTTTACTCATTGTACGGTTGCTTGCTAAATCTGAAAAACAATTCATCCGGTTGCTTGCGAGGTCACTGTACTGTTGCTTGCGAGCATATTGGCATTATATATCGTCTAGATAGTTTGAAAATTAACTTCTCAGCAATGTTTTAACACTAAAAATGTATTACTTTATTAAATTATGACATATTCAAGTTTCAGCAAGTAATTTTAAATAATTGACGGCAGGTTTGAACTATTTTGCCCTGATAAGGGTGTAAGTCTGCTTTGAACATTAATTTTCTTTACCCTATGTTAAAATAGTTGCAGAGATGGTTATAGAAACAAAAGCGACACCTTTTTAAAACTTCCAGTTTCTATACAGTTCTATGGATGACTCATTTGTTTTAAACGGGCTTGACGAAATCTTTCAAGAAAGTGAAGTTGAAACGACGGCCATGCCAGAGTATTAATGTGCAATCTGTGATTATTGCACCGACAAGAAAGGTAATTTAACGCGACACATATATGTACATTAAAGAAAGATGACAAAAAGCGGTTTACGTGTGAAATATGTGAGTTTAACACTGGGAAGAAATACAATCTAGAAAGACATATAAAGCTTCATGTTGATACAGACGAAAGTGCAAGTAAAACTACATTGATGTGCGATGTATGCGGAATGCAGTTCTTGTCTAAATTTGGAATGGCCTTGCACACAAAAAATGAGCATTTAAAACAATTCAAATATGAATGCCAGATTTGCAAGAAAGGATTTAACCAGTTGCTTCCATATAAGGGACACGTTACCTCGTATCATCGCATGTTAAACACACCAAACAGAAATGTGAGAAATGTAACCTGAATTTTCAACATAAAAGCAGTTTAGACCGCCATAAAAAGACTATACATGATGACGTCAAATATGATTGCGCCGAATGTGAGCAACACTTCACTAACAAAAGTCACCTCAAAGATCAATCTCCTACGCAGTGATCTCCCCTTATCAGTACAGAGATTACAATTCTGCCAAGGGAGGTAATCACTGTGAGGAGTTTGCTCAAAGATCACAAGAAAGTCGTTCACTGTGGCCGAAAGCTTCAATGTGATAAGTGTGTCAAGTTCTATAAATGGAGGCCAGGCCTTAATCATCATAAGAAAACTGCACACAATTGAAGAATTATTTTGATTTTCAAAGAGCATATAAAACATATAGCATCTCTTTACCGCCCACAGGCGCGGAGCTATTTGTGTTTACTATTTTTTTTGTCCATGGGCCCGGATTTTATCAATTTACCCTTTCGATTTACAGATAAAAATAAATTCGGATTTTATAACTCCTCTCGATTATTATATACTGGTTCCCCCATAAGTGATTTGCAGCATGTCATATTAATGAATGAGAACCGGAAAGCAGTTCTGCTGTACATGAATTCGAAAGCTATAAATAGCTATAAATGTTCTGATTTTTGACACTTAAGTTATAAATTTGTTATTTCCCCTTTTTAGTAGTACATGAAATTATAATTTGTTACATTTTGAATCACATTTACACAGCATATCAAGTATACTATTAGTGATTGAATTTGTCAGTATAATAAATATTTCAGGCATAAGACTTTAATAATTTTGCTTTTGATAATTATTCTTAATTTATATTTATGAAACTAAATGTTTAATAATAACATGTTGATATATTGGTTGTTTTGAAATAATTATCAACACTTTGTGCTTCAAAATTAACTCTTTAAGGGCATGCAAAATTAACTCTTTAAGGGCATGACTGATGACATATCCGGGGGTCCGTACTCAACAGCAAAAGCTGCATTTTGTGACCGTATGGGCGGATGGACCCTCAGATAGATAGATAGATAGATAGATAGATAGACAGAGAGAGGGAGAGAGAGAGAGAGGGAGAGAGAGAGAGAGAGAGAGAGAGAGAGAGAGAGAGATAACTTTAATCTGCAATTTGAACATGAGGTGTATTGTTGTTTTTTATGAATGGTTTTAAAGCAATTCAGCAAAAAAGTATATTGATCTCCCAATAAATCAATTAACAATAACTTTTTTATGTAGCTTTTATAAATTTGACTCGCACGAACATGATGTTAGTGAATTTCCACATACCTGCCTGAAATTCAGGTAACAGTCTTCTATCAGTATTGCAAGAAACCATTTTTTTTTTAATTTGACATGGAAAAAATGCATGTAATATTACTATATTATAATATTAGTCCCCTTGTTACTATTTGTATATTTGTTACAATTATATTAATAATAACGCAGTTTTGATATTTTATCATCTTATGTTACTGACTACAGTAGTGACACAAACAGAACACAGTACAGTCATGTCACATAACATTTACAAGTCTTGTAAGTCTTGTTTGTATTCAATGGAATTACTTTTCTTACCAGGTAGGCATCAGTGAAAGCATTTTTTTCAAATTAAATATCTGGCCCCTCTTTTTAATTATGGACAGTGCATAAGATAAGTATAATTATGCAAAAAAAGTTTACAAAACATTCGGAAAAGATCTACAATAGAACATAATCTGAATATAACATGACCTTTGCGTATGAATAATTTGGTAAGCTATCTGTAATTATTGCATTTTTTGCGCGGAGCTTCTCAATTGCTGCATTGCAGCAACATTTGTACTTGTAACCTTTGAAATGGGCCAACTGTTCAAGAATTGTGTTTTTAATTGTAACAAAACTTGTAGCTTGCTCCCAGGCAACCGTACAGTTTTTATTCAAGTCCTCATAAGCAACCGTACAGAGGGGTAGCAAGTAACCGTACAGTGAGGGAACATCAACAGTTGTTGCTAATTTATTGTCAATATCTTCGCAACCAAGACGTTTACAAATAACATAATTTTTTGGTGCTTAGAACATAATTCTCGATAGCATCAAAAAGATTTGTTCAAATATTAGGTTATCTTCGTTTGATGCAAACAATTTTGATTTTTTTCGGGAAATCTGAGTGAGAAACCGCATTTTGTCTGAAAATATATGTTTAAACATTAGAATATTGATTATGAATAATTTAGTTTATGTCAGTACCACACATATAAGTAAAAAAACTCCGATATTTATTTATTTTGACAAGTTTTACATGTTTTTTCAGCCTTGTCCTGCGTTTTACGATGTATATTTCGCTCGCAAGCGGAAGTCACTGTGGACGATGGAGTGTACGCTGTGCATTCATCTTTTCGCATTTTGGAGGCAAAGAAGCGACAACACATAGCGTAAATCAGCCACCATAAAAACACACCAAAATATCCGAACTTAACAGGTACCCTCAGTTTATTATGCTCAATAAGTGTCAAATATAATTATTATAATATGATCCTTGATGTGTTTAATGCATAGATCTCTGACCTGTCAAATTCTAATTATTAGATTAGTGGATACAATAAGAATTTCACCGCAACAAAAGAGCACATGTCAATGTTTGAGGTTAAATCTATTGTTATTCATATAAAAGATCAGAGTAGGAACCTATCAATTGATGTAATGTTTACATATTTTTGCATATTAATAAAGTATTCAAAAACAAAATTGCCTACGGACTGCGTACATGTTGGTGTTAGAAATAGAGTTCTCTTACCGACACGCGATAGTTTCATTTAGAAACACATATCTTACAGCAGTGTTCCATTTTTCTTAATAATCATTGTTAAATCTTACCATTGATTATTCTGTCAATTATAACAAAAGTATTTTTATATAAGAAAGAATACTTACGTTTCTCCTCTGTACGAGTAACAAATCCCTGGCTTTTTATTATATCAAAGCCAAAACAAAAAACGTTCTTTTTTATAAACTTCCTATTCAAATTTCGTTTTGTTTAAACCTTGTTTAAAAAGACAATTTATACTTACATAGATAATAATTTAATTGGCGTTGATACATGTGATATAAATACGAGTGATAATAAAATGGTCGGAACACCCAATATGACATTTACAAAAAAGACGAGGTTGATCAATGTAAAAAGATATAATGATAGCTATAATCAAGGTATTTGATAATTATCACAATTTTAAGGGGAAAAAACAAAAAAAAGGTTATAATTTAGAACTTATAACTACCTTGAATGTGGGAGTGATAAAAAACATAATTATAACAACTGTTAAAATAACATAGAGGATAATAGTTATCGGACATTTGACAGTTTAGATATATAATGTACACATATCTCTGTTTGAGTGCATCATTTATTTACATTTATTTTTATGGTGAAATGTAATCTTTTTTCAGACCAAATAAACAAATCATGTAAGCATACCAGACATATTTTGATATTGAACAAAGATGGTATTAATCATATCCCATAACATTCATATTGTGTAGAGGTGTTTCACTTTTCACTCTCGTTAAGTAATAAATCACTCGGTCAACAGGTTATGTAATCTTAAAAAAAAAGAGAAATCTTTCTAAAATATTTTTTCCTCCAGTTCATCCTTAATTAGACACATTTTGTCATAAAGAATTATACATGTAAAAAATTAATTAAGGGTCTTTATCCTTTCAGTGGCCAACCATTTCTCAAGCATTTTCGTAATGACCCCCACCTCCAAATATGTGGTCTGTCAACAAAATGAAAATGCGATTGCATAAAAGCACGGGATTGAAGGGAAGTTACGTTATGCACATTGTTCTATGGTGATATATGCCTGACAATAATAGTGATCCTGTTTATGTGTCTGTGCTCTCTTCCATTTTACTTTTCGAAAGAAAAACATTTCGACAGGAAAATTCACCTAACACACACACCTGCTCAGAAACATGTTGGTTTATTATGTTGTTGTTTTTTTTTTGTTTGTTGTTTTTTTGTGTGTTTTTTTTTTTTGCTTTAGAACTCCAAATAAATAAATCCGGAATCGACGGATTCCAAATCGTGCCACCTTTGTGAAAACGTTTTAAATATTACGCTATGGCCATTGAAAGGATATAAGGCGCATATACATTATGAATCTTAACAAACCACCATTAGGTGAAACGTCTATCGATTACAAGATACGTCATATTATAATACCTGTAAGACCCTAAAACTGGTGCTGAGAGACCTGTAAGAAAAATACTCCGTCGTTATAGGAAGGGAACTTAGTCATACAAAATCAGCCTTGATACACGTGACCTGATAAACTCATTTTCATTTTCGAAAAAAAAAAGATGACATAAAAATGTTATAAATAGAAACTCATATCACCTATGACGTACGACTTATATCAAAATCCGTGGTATAGGTCAGTATGCAGTACTACAATTTTAAAGTAATTATATAGATAACTGATAATTTAGGGAATCATTGTGTGGGTGTTTTATATTAAGGTAGACCATGGGTAATGGGCACCATAAGGAACTGTAAAATTGACAACATAGGACAGTTATATGTCTTCAAGGTTACCTGTATGCAAAATTTAAATAAAATTTACCGTGTGGTTTATGAGTTATGGATATATTTCTGAACTAAGACCTTGCCATTAGAAGGGCTTATTTTCAGAAATGAGGAAACTGTAAATAATCTGTAATATCATCATTATAAAAAATGTTTTTCTATTGCTCATTGTTAAGAAACAAATAATAACATTCAGGTAACACATTAAACAAGCAAAATGTTTGTTTCTAAACAAAATGTTCTTAATATGTATAAAAATGTTATCCTACCCCGCCCACTTTTAACACTAATTTTACCATTTCCCTATCTAAAATGCCTTGTTCAAAATATCCCTTAAATTTATCGAAATGAGGGTCTGTTTTCAAACTTTGCCTTAATTTTTTCAAAGGTATAATAGTTGATCATGTGAAATATAAAATACTTTTACCGTGTAGTTTTTATTTTATCGAACTTTGAAAACATCTGGTATCATATTTGCTATAAATTTTGGCATTATTTAACAAAAAAAATACCTAAAATAATTTTATAATTTAAATCAAACTTTTTTTCTTCCATAAGGGATCAGAGAGATACATAAAAAATGTTAAAAAGATAAAAAGAAAGAAAAAAAAAGTTGCCCCTTCTGGGGTTTGAACCAACGCCCCTCAATTTCAGTGTAGTTTACAAGCGATTCTAGCCTATTTGAATACTCTTCAAAGTGGAGGTAATGCATTACCCATGGAGAAGTCATCTTTCGTTATATTTGTACAGTATTGTGTTTATGGTACTGACAGATGAAGAAACTATCCAATATTTGCTAAAAAGTATCCAATATATCAAAATAATGGACAGCTACTTACTGTGTTTGCAGAAATGAATAATGTCTATAATGTCTCAGTGCGGAACATAATAAACAAAATCGTATTTAGCCGTTATTTTTACATCTGCCACAAAAGTGTTAACTTGAAATACTTAAAATATACATATTAAGTTGAACCAATAAATTTGAAAATTTTAAAAATTCATGTTTGATATTGTTTATATCATAGATATGTTCCAATAATTTATTTAATATTAGGGCTTTATTTCTTAAATTCTTACTAACACGTAATTCATTCAGGATGTGCCAACTGGAAGTGACCGTTTGTAAACAAGAAAACTTTAACATGGGTTTGTGTGATTTTACTCGGAGACATACTAAACAATCATGCTATTAAACAAACATGTCTTTCATTTAAATGTCATACAAGGAACATTGGAAAGATATAAGCAATATTAAATATCTCTTTTCTAAATTTGATCATGTGATTGTGTATTTTTACTTAGTATGTACAAGTATATGTTATACAGGAATTAACACAACGTTTCAGGTACAATGTTATTAACGAGGCCATCTTTTTCAGCAGGCCATCTTGTTCAGCGGACCGGAACATTTATAGCAATATCACTATTTGTTAAGCAGTTTATAGATGTTGTTATAGTAACAATGTTAATGCTGGACTTCATGGTATCACAATAGCATTCTGTGCTCTGGTGAGCTAAAAACAATAACTACTTACAAGGTCTTATAAATTTAGCTCTGTAGAACCTTATAACGGAAGTCAGTTATTGTTTACAAACTAATAAATTAGTTATACATTTGATATTGTAGTATCTACGGTAAGGAGAACCGCTTGCTTAACAAACATATGTTATTCTTTGTTCATTTTTTTCACACACTAAACTTAAACAGACAGACATACAAGTTTCTTTACTTTTCAGGGAGAAAATGTATATCTAAGAATCCGGTTGCATCTGCTCAGATGACTTTGGTTTTAAATAACAGAAGATACTTTAATGAACTCTGTGACGTCAGATAAACGGCCCACAAAAGAAAATAGACAGTGCAACGTGACTAAAATACTGTTCGTTGGTTGTTTTCAAGCATAACTCTACACATTTCTTGGCCATATTTCTTTTTTACTTTACAACATCAATGCATACAACAAGAGCAATATTCCACAATTACAGACTGTTAACTGGCTTTTGGCAAATATTGGAAGAATTTAAAAACAGTTCACAAGACAAAACGTTGGAATTTTTAACAGAAAAATCATAAATTCATATTGCAAATATATGAATTTTCATAGCTTTTGTGCTAGAAATTTAAAGGAAAAATGATTTATTAGTACAAGGGCTATACACAAAGGTTACGTTACTGGCTTCTTGCAGAAAACACTCAGGTAGTATTTAAATACAACAAGTAAAGACATGTTCAACAATTCATTGAAATATCTAATACTCTTTTTCAAATGGTATTGTGATCATGACCCCCTAAAAATACTCCTGCCAAACGAGTTCTTCATTTTTGTGTGGATCATCCAATTTTTCTTACAAAATTTATTTTGAAATAAATCGAAGAGCAGGAGTTCAGTAATATAAGAATGTTTAAAAAAAGTTTAGAAAGACCCTGAATTATTAGAATCTTAGAAATTCACAACTTATGGTTAACTAAGCACGTTTTAACAAATACCATGAACAATTTCCAAAACGAACAAATACTCCAATTATAATATCAAAATCATTTCAATGATTCATCCTTAAAAAAAAATTAATATTTCAATCAAAATACTTCAGGTTTTATCAATGTCCATTGCACTTTGTCCAAAATTAGAACTAGCTCTATTAGCAATTGGAAGCCCAACTGGAACTGGCTCAACATCTGCAATCAAACCTGAAATCAAAGAGGGATCAAAGTCTGGAACTTCTTTTACAAGAACCTCAGTTCCCATTTGAGCACTTGTATGTGGGGGTGAAGGAATTACAGCTTTTCCTTTAGGTGCATATTCTTCATCTGATATCATGATAACATCATCATCAATGTCATCTTCACTTGCGTTATAATCCTTGTCTTTTACATCATCCTCATCCACTTCTTCATTACTACTTATTAGATCTATTTCATCATCATTATCACTACTCTCTTCTTCATCTTCCGTTGTTGGAACTACTTTCATTGTTCTTTGAACACTCTGTGGTTTATTTTCTATCTTTTTAATGGAATTTTTATTGTTTGATTTACCAGCATTATCTTCATCCTCATCACCTCCATTATCATCACTCTCATTTTCATCACTACTTGACTCTTCATCATCACTGTCATCACTTTTATCATTATCATCTTCATCACCATCATTAGCATCATCACTTTCTTCATCACTGCTACTTCCACTCTCACTAGATGATGATGACGACGATGATGATGATGAAGAAGTTGTTGTTGAATTAGCCTTTGCCTCTTGTTCATCTGAAGCAGACGGGAAAGGAGCCTCACTTTCATCTTCAGATAAAGCAGACGACAAAACTTCATCCTGTGAGGTTTCATTATCTCCACTTGTTATACCACCTTCCTTGTTTGGTTTTAATTTTTTTACTGCCTGGAGTAAGCCCATTTTAATTTTTACAGTAGGTGCATTGGAATTCAAAGCTGGTGAAGCAGGTTTAGTCTTTTCAATATCATTCTTTTTCAAAGGGGAATCTAAAGAACTATCAGAAAGAACTATAACATCTGATTCATCTCCTTTCTCAGTGGATTGTTTCTCACTTGCAGGTATGTCATTATTTGACTGACTATTATCAGTACTTGCACATTCAATCGAAGGTTTAGCTGTACTTTTTTCCACCACTTTTTGCATGCTGTAACTTGCTCCCTGACTTTTCATAATATTGGCAAGACTGATCAAAGTTGGAGGTTTCACTGTTTTCGTAGACAGATCAACAGGCTCTGAAGGTGGTATAAAACTGGCTGGCACAGGAGATGATGCGCCAACGGGGGATTTAGAATCCTGGGCCTGAAAATAGAAAAAGAAATTGACTCTCTTCCATTCATAATAGGTCAGAACTTAAGATTTCTTTGTCTGGTTTTTATTGCCACACATGTTTGGCTCATATCTTGGCAGCCGGTTCACATAACCGGCTTTACAGAATAACTAACCATTAATTATCATTTTCTGTTCAAGTCACTGACAACTTATCCCACATGATTTATATATCAGTCTTGAGAAACAAATGACCATTAAACTCAATGTCCAAGATCAATTGTCACAGTGAAATTTTACTATGCCCAAGAATCAAACTTACAACCCCAAGTTAACAAAAGCTGTCCCTTTTGAGCTCAGCCAACAAACACTTATCATTATAATATAAAGAAGAAATATTCTTAAATATTTCAGTTCTTTGAGATTTCTATGGGGATTTTCAAAGAAAATTACATAATAAATGATGAACATATAGTTTTAACTTTCCTAGAATATATATGTAAAAATGAGAAAAGATTTTGTAAAATTTAAAGTGGCTGGCCTATAATGGGAACATTTTCATTGCCATGATAAAAGTGTTTCTAATGTTGATAAAAACAAGAAACAAGAGGGCCATGATGGCCCTGAAATCACTCACCTGTATATAGGCCCCCGGAGCGGGGCCAGTTTAAACCCCAGGGCTTTTATTTAAACAAACTTGGTAGACACCCATTAGAAGATGTTTCATGCTAAACATCTAAGGTCTAGCTGGTCAAGTTTTTTCTTTACACATATAGTTAAAAACAATGACACACCTGAGGCAGGGCCATTTTTGACCCAAGGGCTTTTATTTGAACAATATTTGTAGACACTTACTAGAAAATGTTTCATGCTTAATATCTAAACTCTAGCTATTCAGGTTTTTTCAAAGAAGATTTTTAAGTTTTTGCTATACACCTATAAGGAAAATCAATGTCACCGGGGCGGGGCCAATTTTGACCCCAGGGCTTTTATTTGAACAAACTTTGTAGACACTCACTAGAAGATGCTTCGTGCTTAATATCTAAACTCTAGCTATTTGAGTTTTTTCAAAGAAAATTTTTGAAGTTTTTGTTATACACATATAAGGAAAATGAATGTACCCCCGAGCGGGCCAATTTTGACCCCAGGGCTTTTATTACAACAAACTTGGTAGACACTCACTAGAAGATGTTTCAAGCTTAGTATCTAAGCTCTAGCTATTTGTTTTTTTTTTCAAAGAAGATTTTATAAGCTTTTGTTATACACATATAAGAAAAATCAATGACCCCCGACGCAGGGCCAATTTTGACCCCAGGGCTCTTTTTTTAACAAACTTGGTATACATCCATTAGAACATGTTTCATGCTAAATATCTTAGCTCTAGCTCTTTGAGTTCTTTTAAATAAGATTTTTTAAGGTTTTACTATATGCATATAGGGAAAATCAATGACCCCCCTGGGGTGGACCAATTTTGACCCTAGGGCTTTTATTTGAACAAACTTGGTAGACACGCACTAGAAGATGTTTCATGCTTAATATCTTAGCTCTAGGTCTTTCGGTTCTTTAAAAGAAGATTTTTTAAGTTTTCACTATATGCATATAGGGAAAATCAATGACCCCCCCGGGCGGGGCCAATTTTGTCCTGGGGCTTTTATTTGAACAAACTTGGTAGACATCCATTAGAGGATGTTTCATGCTAAATATCTTAGCTCTAGCTCTTTGGGTTCTTTTAAATAAGATTTTTTAAGGTTTTACTATATGCATATAGGGAAAATCAATGACCCCCCTGGGGTGGACCAATTTTGACCCTAGGGCTTTTATTTGAACAAACTTGGTAGACACGCACTAGAAGATGTTTCATGCCAAATATCTAAGCTCTAGCTCTTTGGATTTTTTAGAAGAAGATATTTAAAGTTTTTTCTTTTGGTTGCCATGGCAACCAGAGTTCTGCATGGAAGTAAATTCTTTGAACAATTTTCAAAGGTGACCACCAAAGGAACATTCATGTGAAGTTTGGATGAAATTGGCTTAGTGGTTTATGAGGAGATGTCATTTAAAGTTAAAGTTTACGGACGGACGCCGGACGGACAGTGATCACAAAAGCTCACCCTGTCACTTTGTGACAGGTGAGCTAAAAAGATGTTGATAAAAATCTACATATTAGTGATTTAATATTTTGTTCTAGAACAATTTATTATCTGCTATATAAATATAAGTCATATCAAATCATGTATCTAACACTTGCTAACAATATTCATATACAATTATTTTGTGGTTTGTTATGTCTGATACTTAATACTATTGACTTATATATTTATTGACCTACAGATCTTCTCTTATAGCCAATTTACTTTAATATTTAATTGTTTTCACATTAACCCTTACTATGCTAAATAGTTTAAATAGACTCATGTAACCTTTCAATCTAATTTTTATGGGATTTTTCAAAATATGTAGTGACTAAATAGCAAACAGTCTCCAGGACTTTACTATTCTAAAAATATGCTCAATTACAATTTGTTACCTGGAATCAAGTTTAATTTTTGTTAAAACCATGAAACCAGACTTAAATCACATGAATCAGTGTGCTTACCTTCTTGGATTTTTGTGCCAGTAGCTGTTTACAGTACCTAATAGCCTGATCAAGGAACATTTTCTGTGGTAAAGTCTGCAACACATATAAAAACCATTTTTCAATATTTAATTACATAACAAGGGACTCATACCTACAGCAGTGAGGGGCAAGTGGTATATTAAATTAACAAGAACTGTCGGAGGACAGTAACGCTCGACTATTCGAAAATTTGTCACAAGGGTGTTTCATTGAGTATAATAATGCTTACCTATATGAATACATAAAATTGTCCGAAAAGGTACAAACTCTTCAAGTTTCAATACATTCCCTTCAGTAGTTATGGAGATACAAGCTTACATGCAAAAACTTAACCAAGAATTCATGATTCGAAAAAGGGGCATAATTATGCAAAAAAGCAATCAGAGTAATGGGACTTGTACCAATCATCTTAGATAATCACAGAGACCAAGTGTGTGAAGTTTCAATCCATTCCCTAGTAGTAATGGAGATACCAGCTTACACGCAAAAACTTAACCAAGAATTTCTAAGTCGAAAAAGGGGCATAATTATGTTAAAAAGCAAATTAGAGTTATGGGACTTGTGCCAATCATCTTAGATAATCACAGAGAACAAGTGTGTGAAGTTTCATTCAATTCCCTTCAGTAGTTATGGAGATACCAGCTTACATGCAAAAACTTAACAAAGAATTTCTAAGTCGAACAAGAACTGTCGGAGGACAGTAACGCTCGACTATACTAAAATTTGTCACAAGGGTGTTTCATTGAGTATAATAATGCTTACCTATATGAATACATAAAATTGTACGAAAAGGTACAAACCCTTCAAGTTTCAATACAATCACAGAGAACAAGTGTGTGAAGTTTCAATCCATTCCCTTCAGTAGTTATGGAGATACCAGCTTACACACAAAAACTTAACCACAAATTTATGAATCGAAAAAGGGGAATAATTATGCGAAAAAGTAAATCAGAGTTATGGGACTTGTGCCAATCATCTTAAATAATCACAGAGACCAAGTGTGTGAAGTTTCAATCCATTCCCTTCAGTAGTTATGGAAATACCTGAGCTTACACGCAAAAACTTAACCAAGAATTTCTAAGTCGAACAAGTGGCATAATTATGTAATAAAAGCAAATCAGAGTTATGGGACTTGTGCCAACCATCTTAGATAATCACAGAGAACAAGTGTGTGAAGTTTCAATCCATTCCCTTCAGTAGTTATGGAGATACCAGCTTACATACAAAAACTTAACCAAGAATTTCTAAGTCGAAAAAGGGGCATAATTATGTAAAAAAGCAAATCAGAGTTATGGGACTTGTGCCAATCATCTAAGATAATCACAGAGAACAAGTGTGTGAAGTTTCAATCCATTCCCTTCAGTAGTTATGGAGATACCAGCTTTACATACAAAAACTTAACCAAGAATTCTAAAAGTCGAAAAAGGGGCATAATTATGTAAAAAGCAAATCAGAGTTTATGGGACTTGTGCCAATCATCTTAGATAATCACAGAGAACAAGTGTTTGAAGTTTCAATCCATTCCCTTCAGTAGTTATAGAGATATCCAGCTTACATACAAAAACTTAACCAAGAATTTCTAAGTCGAAAAAGGGGCATAATTATGTAAAAAAGCAAATAAGAGTTATGGGACTTGTGCCAATCATCTTAGATAATCACAGAGAACAAGCGTGTGAAGTTTCAATCCATTCCCTTCAGTAGTTATGGAGATACCAGCTTACATTCAAAAACTTAACCAAGAATTTCTAAGTCGAAAAAGGGGCATAATTATGTAAAAAAGCAAATCAGAGTTATGGGACTTGTGCCAGTCATCTTAGATAATCACAGAGAACAAGTGTGTGAAGTTTCAATCCATTCCCTTCAGTAGTTATGGAGATACCAGCTTACATACAAAAAACTTAACCACAGGGACGCCGACGCCGACGCCAACGCCGACGCCGACAAATGGGTGACTGCATTAGCTCGATTATTCTACGAATAGTCGAGCTAAAAAGGGGCATAATTATGTAAAAAAGCAAATCAGAGTTATGGGACTTGTGCCAATTATCTTAGATAATCACAGAAAACAAGTGTGTGAAGTTTCAATCCATTCCCTTCAGTAGTTATGGAGATACCAGCTTACACGCAAAAACTTAACCAAGAATTTCTAAGTCTAAAAAGGGGCACAATTATGTAAAAAAGCAAATCAGAGTTATGGGACTTGTGCTAATTATCTTATATAATCACAGAGAACAAGTGTGTGAAGTTTCAATCAATTCCCTTCAGTAGTTATGGAGATACCAGCTTACATACAAAAACTTAACCAAGAATTTCTAAGTCGAAAAAGGGGCATAATTATGTTAAAAAGCAAATTAGAGTTATGGGACTTGTGCCAATCATCTTAGATAATCACAGAGAACAAGTGTGTGAAGTTTCATTCAATTCCCTTCAGTAGTTAAGGAGATACCAGCTTACATACAAAAACTTAACCAAGAATTTCTAAGTTGAAAAAGGGGCATAATTATAAAAAAAAGCAAATCAGAGTTATGGGACTTGTGCCAATCATCTAAGATAATCACAAAGAACAAGTGTGTGAAGTTTCAATCCATTCCCTTCAGTAGTTAAGAAGATACCAGCTTACATACAAAAACTTAACCAAGAATTTCTAAGTCGAAAAAGGGGCATAATTATGAAAAAAAGCAAATCAGAGTTATGGGACTTGTGCCAATCATCTTAGATAATCACAGAGAACAAGTGTGTGAAGTTTCAATCCATTCCCTTCAGTAGTTATAGAGATACCAGCTTACATACAAAAACTTAACCACAGGGACGCCGACGCCGACAAATGGGTGACTGCATTAGCTCGATTATTCTGCGAATAGTCGAGCTAAAAAATCAAGTGTAATTTCTTTTTTGTGTAAATCTATAAGTTCAGCTAAAAAAGTCTCAGAAGCTCCATGCTTGACAATACATGTATTAAAATATACATTTGTGTATCAGAAAATAAAATGCATTTAGGTACTGCATCAAGAAACATGTGATATCTTTAACAAGCAGTCATAACTGGGTAGTAACAATATTTCATTAGAAAATAAGATAAATGAAAATTTAATCTAAAAATTGAGACCATTGTTATTTTCTTCATAATAGAAACATCTGTATGTATGTACCTCTAGCTTTCTAAGAGTGACCCTATAAGCCTCTGCCAACAATCGATTTGACCTTTCAACATGTTTATTGAGTTTATGAACTCCATGTTCGTGTATTTTGTATACGACCATGAGGAATTTCTGGCGTGCTTCCATGTCAGTGACCATCTTCATATCTTCAATTTGCTGTTCTACGGCATCCAGAGTGTAACGATGTGATGTCAGTGCATAATATTTCTTCTCTGCATCACGTAGGTATTTTCTGTAAATGAAATAAAGATAAATTAGGTCACTAGGTAAAAATTTGTTCATATAGGTCACAATAAACCACATACAATGATAGTAATAGTTCTTGTTATATATATATTTGTGTTTTTAATATATTGATGTAGAATTCATATTTTTCAGGTTTTAGGGGAATGAAGGCAATCCCATCAGAAATGGGAAAATCGCATTGTAAAAGTTAACATTTAAGAGCAAACTTTTGCAGACTTCTACAAATGTGTCAACAGTGAAGGATCATATTGTCAGCCAAATTGTCTGTCATATTGTCCGTCATATTGTCAGTCATAATGTCGGCCAAATTGTCAGTCATTTTGTCAGTCATTTTGTCTGCCAACCATTCATTAAAGAAATGCATATGTAAATAACATTGGCAGAACTTAAATCATACATTATTGATCTGTTGACATAATATCCTAACCTAGTCAACTAGACTGGTTTTGTTGTAAGACTTTAAGAAATAAATATGGTAATAAAATGTTCTTTTCATTCCACCTGGAAGAACTAATAAACACTCATGAACACCAGTCAGATTAGTGGGATAAAGTGAGCTGGACAGAATTCAAATTATTGTTATGGATTTGTCAGCCAGGCACCTGTTTGTTTGTATGTGTATACATACACTTTCAGTTATTCTAAGTTCATATTTATTCTGTTTTATGTGAAGAAGTTGACACACAGTTGTTGAAAACCAGGGTAGTACCAGTATGAAATCAAGATACACTTGTTATATAAAAGCCTACAAGTATATGAAAGGCTTTGTAACTGCTACATGATACAATTAAACGCAGTTCAGTTCTTTACAGGGCCTATTAAATGAAAGCTATCTATCTAGTTTAAGGATGTTTGCAGGTTCTACTCTGGTGTCACACCTGACTTAAATAATGAATGCACAGAGGGGCATGTGAGGTCTTCTTTACAGGCATGTGAGGCCTTCCTTTTTTATTACAGGTAGAAGTCAATATAATTTCATGACCTTTTTAGTGTTGTTATGACCAAAGAAATATAGTAAACAAGGTGGAGATAGAGTTAATCTGTATAATTGAATCAGGTAGTAACTTACTTTCCAGGTTCTGGTTGCCTGTTGAGCTGTAAATGCACTTGGTGTAATGTTTGACTGTCTTTCTCAGCTCGTAAAACTTCCAGAACCAGACCTATACATCTGTTGAGGTGGGACGGGAAACTTCCTGATTGTCTATCTCATCTATTGGGAATCTTCCATTACCTAGAAATAATTATTGACAAAACTTTTAAAAATATACCCTATATGTAATTTTTTATATCCAAGGTAGATAATTAATGTTTATTACATGTAATAGATGCAGTCTAATCTCTATCATAGGTACAGTTTAATCTCTTTAACTGTTAGTTTATACTAATTTATTTTAGTTTGTGTTGGAAGCTATAAGCTTATTGAAACACTCTCGAATCCTTTCCTGGAACCAACCAGTACTAAGCAATGAGTGTGAAGTTTTTTGATCATGGAAACAACAGCTTGCCCCTTACTGGGTTTCAACCCATGAGGCCAGCAATCCTTAGATTAATAGTCTGATGGTTAACCTCCAGGTCATGCTGCCACTTTTTAACTGTTTACTCACACTACAGTAAGAATACACCTTTAATATGGTCTAGATTTTACTTAAACAAATATATTTTAAAAGTACCTTTGTGACATTCTGGCCTATCATCATAATATTACATAAGTCACTAAGTCCCTATGTAGGCAGAGTGTAAATGATATATTAAAATGAGCAAATTAGAACTGTATTTGGTGACAATATCACCACTTTTCTTTAGAAAATATAGGGTACAAGAAAGCACTTGGAAACTTTGTATACATAGAAGAAATAAGATGCCTTGATAACAATTGCCGATACAGATCAAATTAGCAGACAGTATTTTAAGCATTAAATTCTTTCCGTCTTTTATTTAAAAAACCCAAGTTTTAAACACCAACACGCAATCATCACAGAAACAAAAAGATTACCTGGAAGAATTTAGTTTGTTTTCGCTCACCAAACAATCCTTGACAAGGGCATATAACTAATCCCCCACTTTGGGCCCCTAAAAGGGATATTGTGGGCCCTTTTGTCAAACCCGGAAGAAAAAGAATCGACATAAAATTTTTTGGGCTGACCTTTTAATTTGATTTTTTTGTTTAACGGCACATCAACACAGTAAAGGAAACATGAAATGATTTTGGCTAACCTCGGGTATAAAAAACATCAAAACAACACCAGGGGTCAAAGTCACCTCACCTGCAAGAGCTAAGAGATGCATAAACTCCAGTTATTCAAACCCGTTTAGTCACCTCCTATAATCACATGGGTATAAATGGTCACTGCAATTCTTAAGCTTCAACCATTAAAGGCAACCCCTGAGCCACAAGGGGTGATCTCTATTATGAAAGTATAAAGCTTTGTTCAATACCTTCGATACCTCAATTTTTATTTTTTTTTATGGAGCATATACACACAGTTGCAGTTTTTTCCTTCCATCTATCTGTGACATTTACAACTTTCTCATAGAACCTTCATTTAACCCTTAGCCACTCTAAATATCTTAAATGGACTTGTCCATCTTTTAGTATAGACAAAGCCATTCACCATTTTACAGAAAATTGCCAAATACATACATACATTGTTGTACTGACTGAATAGCAAACAGTGCATACCTTGATAAGATGGCAGTTATGTGTATTCAATTACCTCCAGTAAAATAAGGTTTCAACATATTTTTATTCCCAACAGAATACATATTATTTGTACCTGTATACATTCAACAACTTAAAAATTTACATTTAATCATTCAGGGAAAGGCTTAGTCTTACAGAATTCTTTAGCTTGAAATTGTTTGTCAAAAAAGAAAACAAACAAAAAAATAGAAAAAAGTGTGCTTGACTATTCCAGATTTTGCTGACATGTTGGAAAGTAAATAGACATAACTAGGTCAATAACTTTGACAGACTTATGAGAAAGCTCTCCTTATACATGTATATTCTCTACACAAGCAGTTTGGCAAATGTCTCCAGTTACTAAATATCAAAAACAAGAATGTAAGTCATTACATGTCAACAAATGATTTTTGAGAGAAAAAACACTACCATGGAAATATCTTTAAAGAGGTTAAAAATGTAATGTTGGGGTAAGCGGATATATTTGTTCATTTACATTTTTTGGTGCTTGTTTTCACACAATTCTGCATTTTCATATTCCTGCATTATTGGATATACGCAGGGTGTAGCTGGTACATGCAAACAAGAGCTGTTGATAGGACAGCACATTCCACTATTCTCAATGTTTGAGAGTAAGACAAAAACCTGGATAATGTCGAATATTTTTAGTTCAAAAAGGGTTATTATTCTGTCAAAATCTATGTTAGAATTATGGGCCTTGGAGAATAACTTTCTATTATGATACCAACATTACGCCCAAGTGAGCACAACAGCTCTACTTAATCTGCGAATAGTAAGGATAAATGAGCCCAATTCTTTTTT